ATCTCTTGTCTCCCAGAGTTCCCTGACATTAGGGCTAAAACTTAGCATCTGGAGAGCAAGGTTTCTGACCCCACAGGTGGAAGTTTCAGCTGTGTCATTTAAGGTACTGTGGGAGAGATGAGAAAGCCTGTGAACAGAATTGCCAAATGTTGGCACACACCATCCAAGCAGCTGCATAAGGGCTTCCAGGTCCCTGTTTTAAATATGTGCTACAAAAGGCCATGCGGACTAGTGCATGCCCTGCTGGGCCATCAACTGAGCCTTGTTCAAAGTGCTACCTAGAGAGATAACTGGTCAGCTGACTGCCCCATGAACCTCGTGGCATGGGGACATCAAACTAAGACCTCTAGTAGACCTCCTAGGCTTGGCTATGGGCTCACTGGGAACCAAGGATGCAGCATGGGGTGATCCATTTCCTTCCTGTTGGACACGGAGCCACTTAAGAAGTTCGGAGGGAGTTTTGGGGTCCCACCTCTCCTTCTCATTTCCCTATTGTCGAGGTAGGGGGGACAGCCTTACCCACCTCGCCAGACTTAATTGTTCTTTCAGAGTTAGTTAATGGGAAGAGATTTTCCAGCTAAGGTAGGAGCTTTCACTTCATTTGCTCCCTCCATGTGCCTCACTCCAGACGGGTCAGCAGTGCTTCTTCTCATGCACAGGGACACAGACAGGGCCCTGCTCTCTCTCTCTCTCTCAAGTTCCAGAGGACATCAGGATCTACTGCCTTGTCACCAATTCCAGAAGAATGAGGTCTCACCCCACAAGCTTTTCTCTTCCTGGTTCCCTCTTCTAATTAACTATTCAGCTAATTGTTACAGGATCACCATAGAGATGGAGTCCAAGGACCATCCAAGTCCAAGATATGCCCAGGTGTTACGGAACAGTAACAATTAAAAGGTGTTTACACCCCCAGACCGAAAAGGGTCTGGACTCTGCAAAAAACAGACCTTAATATAACAATCTATTACTGTTAGACGCTCTCAACAATTGATCACCTGTGTATCCCTGATGCTAAACTAATAAAGGAAACAGGGGCCTTAAAATAATCTGTCTCTGATAAGGCTTATCTCAGGTAAAAATTAAAAACATATCCTAAATCTCTCTCTCACTAACATTAACCAGCAGAGTACTAAACACTACAAAGGTCACTAGCTCAAGACTTTAATTTTCTCATGGCTGCTTCTTAATATGTTCAAAATTTTTCTGAACTCCAGAAAATCCACCTGGACAGGTCAGCGAGCTCTGGAACTGGCTTGAATCCACCTAGACAGCACCTTGTCAGATGATTTCCAAGGCAGCAGATGACCCCAGGACACCTGTCTACCTCAGAAGCCCCCTTCCCTACCCGCCCCCCCCCCCCCAAGAGTCAACCAACACCCACCAAGTCAGCTGGAAGCAGTTTTTCCAGTAAAAACGATGCCCCTATTCCTGTTCACCCGCTTTTTATAATAAACAAAAATACTAGAATGTAAGGATTCTGCCACCACTCCAGCTGCATCACCGTACATGTGCAGTTCAGCAGCTAAGTAAAGGGTCTTAAGTCTTACATCATCTGTGAGCTGTGTGATTGCGCAAATGCGTGCAGCGCAGTCACGCAATCAGCGCATGCGTGGCGTAGCTCCAGTAAGCCTACCTGCGCATGTGCACGGAAATACTTAAAAAGCCAGACACAGACTCCTCTCTCCTCTCTGTTCTGTCCTCCGCCCACCCCCCTCTCTCTCTGCTCTCTGCACATGCTTCTTCCCCAGGCCTGGTTCTTTTTTCCCCCCTTCCTCCTAATAAAGCTCTGATACTGGGTTTTGTCATGGCTCATGCCTCATGACCTTTCTGCACCGTAACCAGCACCCGCTTATCATTTTTAAAACAACAGTAACTATGCTCTCCCTTTGTGTGTGATATGCTACATATCATAGTGACTGCAATAAGTAATATATTTTTCACTTCAAAACCACTAAAAGAATACATTTCAAATGTTCTCATCTCAAGAAATGTTGGACACTTGGGGTGATATACTGGAATAAGTATGCACAGCTATAATTTTCAGCTTATGCTTTTTAAAACTTCAAAAAGAACAAAGACAATTCTACTCAATGTTAAGGCCCTGTTGTACATTAATATGCTAAGCATTATCTTCTCATAAGCAAATTCATTGTTCTTTATATTTTACATTCTTTTTGTAGAAGCCAATTTTGAATCTACAATAGATGTCTAACATGTTCACTTTTCTTCACTCAAAAATTACTTTTTTCCCTTCTTTAGGAAAAAAAAAATCATAATCGTGCTGGGTGTGGTGGCACATGCCTTTTGGAAAACTTTGTCTCCAAAAAAAAAAAAAAAAATCAAATTCTACCCTACCTTTCCATCCACAAACACTTCCCAAAACACATGGACAGTGACAGTGCGTAGTAATAAACACCATGTGGAGTGCCACCAACATGCACAACTTAGAGGCACACCATGTGGCACTCAGCAAGTACAAAGGCTGGGACCCCTGACCTCAGGAATCCTAGGAGCACATCTCCCCAGCAAAGCCTGTGCTCTTACAACCCTATGCACAGTGACAGCCCCTGAAGGAAATACCTGCTCTTACAAAGTTTCACACTCTGAAGGCTGAACAGCCAAAGAGGTAACAAGGGGCAAACGTTACTCTAGGCTAAATCCTCCTCAATTAAATTGGCCCATCTTGATACAGAGCTTTTCAGGGGCAGCATTCATGAAACATCTATAAAAGGAAATGCAATTAGGGGAATCTGTTTAATACACCAAAGTTTGACTGGGCCTGGCCAGGGCAGCCACTAAATTCTACTTAGGAACAGTGATAGCTGAAAGGCTGTCACATAAATTACAGGGGGGGGGGGGGGGGGGGGGGGGTGCAAAAAACTTTGCACCAGAAGAGGCAAATGAGATACCATGAAAAGGAGAACGAGACAGAACAGAGCTCTAACTGGGCCAACGACCACCCCAGTTTGTTTACCACCCCACGCTGCCCTTCCATCTCCTTATCTACGGCTCTGCCTCTCCTAAGTTAACGACACCGAAACGGGAAATTTCCCAGAAGTTAAGCTGCCCGTGAGTTGACAGAAGTACACTTTGTTCAAACTGTGACCCTTCTTGGTCTGTCATGGCTGCACACGGGGAGATAACACATGCTCAGGGCTTGCTTTTGTGTCTCTTTGACCTATATCCATCCTGCAGCAGCACCAACAGACACACTGATTCTAGATGCTTCCACAGATAAAGTGACACGTTCTGAAGATACAGGCTGAAGAGAGGCAGTGGTGGAGGGTAAGCCCCAGGGACAAGATGTTTCCGTCCCCTATGGACACGGGCTCCAGCACTGAACCGGCTGGAGTGAGCACACAGCGCCTTCACTCTGCTGTTCAGTATACAGTGGCTCCTACTAAGAGCCTGCCGGAGTTCACATTCTATCCCAAGCTGGAAGACGTCTAATTTCTTTAAGCCTGAGCTGTTAGGAATCTGACCTCTCTCAACTTTTCTGTCCTTCAGTAAATGACCAGCAATTAAGAGCAATAGGGAGAACTGAGAACCTTGGAAGAGTCCAAGTCGAAATTGGTGTCAATCATAGCCAGGGGCCCCCAAGCTTAAGGTTATAAGGTTAGAGAGGGGCATCGGGGTTAAGCGGGAAATCCACCCTTCCAATCAGTCCAGCCAAAAAAGCTGCTTCCAGCTAGAGAGCCAGAAGGGCTGCCTGGAGGAGGTGGCCCTGGAGCCATTCCATTTAAGAGCATGCGGGCAATGGCCTAGAGAGCTGGACTAGGGGCAGAAGGTAAATTATTACTTGCATGGGGCAGGGTCATCCAAACAAACTCTCTCGTTTACTGCTCCCTCCCAGGGTCACTAGGAAACTTCCCCTCAGAAGGCTAGACCTTCAAAACGTCCTGGCCAAGAACACGAAGTTGATAACTGGTGGAGGGGAGGAAGACATCTACTTTACAAAGCCTCAAAGGAAGCTCACCCAGCCAAGCAGCTGGAGACAACGGGATTCGAACACCTGCCCAACCAGACCTCCACGGCTCGTCACTGGCTGGCGCCCGAGCACCGCCCACTGCCCTGGAAAGGGCTCGCACACGCATGCACTGCACTCCCCCCCCCCCCCCGCTCGCCCTCCCCTAGTTTCTTTTTTTTTTTTTTTTTCCCTCTCTCTGCGGCAGGATAAAGCCAGCTACCGAACGTGGGCCGCAGGACGCCGCGACGTCCGCGCTCCGCCCGCCCGCGGATCCCTCCGCCGCCCCGAGCCTGCGCGCGCGGCCTCCCTCCCCACCAGCACACCACGAGCCGTTTCCCGCGCCGCGCCGCGCCGCGCCCCACCCCCCCCCACCCCGTCGCGCCCCAACCCCCACCCCAGCTCACCTGCCGCCTGCGTCTCCATGGCAACGCCCCCACGGCGGAGGGCCGGGGTGGAAAAAAAAGCCTCGGGTTCCTCCTGGGCTCCCCTCCCGCGCCCAGCGAGAAGGCCGGACACCCTGAGGAAACTTCGCTCTTAATTTTTATTTTTTTAGGGAAAGAGCCGGAGAGGTTATGGCGAATCTGCGGCATCCAACATGGCGGATGGAGTCTTCGACCTCCTCCCCACCGGGGATCCGACGCCTGCGTAGCGACGTCCGCCGCGGGGAACCGCCCTCGGCTCCCAAGACACACTGCGCATGCTCGCGGCTAGCTTCCCCCCCCCCCCCCCCGCCCGCTCCCCCTTTTGGTCCCGGCATGCCGCGCGCTGTTTTGAGCCACGCCCGGGAAGGGACGCGGTGATCCCGGGACGTGGGTGCGGGGATTGGGAGTGTCCTGCGTCCGTCCCCTTTGGGGGGGACGAGCTGGCAGGCTGGCTTGTGCACTCTTTTGCGCACTAACTTTCCCTGGGCTCAGTTTCCTAACTTGCCCATCGGGCTGGTTGGCAGCAGCTTGTAGCGGCGATGCCGTCCCTGGGACGCCCTGCCGAGGTGTGGTTGGCACCGCTTGTCCGGGCGTGCAGCCCCACGTGAGGATGCGGCGCCCCTCCAGTTCTCTAGCAGAGCCCGGTTGGATGTGAGCGTGCGTTGCACATCGTTTCCCTGGAAGCGCAGTGAACCACCTTTCGGTTTTTCCTGTTGGGAGGTTAGAGCCCCCTCGGCACCCTGTAGAGGTGTCTGTCCCAAGTAACTTTAGTAGAATCTGTCCCTGCTAACGACGAAGTCGCTCATCTCCAGCAGTCTTGGTCACCCCGTTAGCATTCGAAACTGGGAATGAGTTTAAATGGGCGAATAAACATGTATATAATAGTAACAGTCGCATTTGTGCTAATAAAGCTGGCCTTTTTTAAATAATCATTGTAAAGAAAACGCCACACATGCAGAAACAAAACAAAAAATATTAAAAAAAAAAAAAAAAAAAAAAGGCAGAACGGAAATGACCGGAGTCTGGGGAACACAGATTTGTTTTTACGACGCCCCTGAAATACTGTTTTTCGGGAATAACCCTTGCCTTCTGTCGAACCTGAAATATTCATCAGACAGCTCCTGCCTGTACCCACAGAGGTCAGGGTCATGTGTTCTTTACTCCCTCCCCACGTCTAGGTTCGTCTACCTCTCTGCCATGGACTGAGTTTACTGAGCAGAGAGAGTCATGTAGGAAAGGTCCCTGGGTCTTTCAAATCTTTATCTTCCCACCGCAGGTTGCATAGTAATACCACTGAATGGACTCATTCATTTTGGTCATCACTTGTTTTTTTTTTTCTTTTTTTAACCATTGAAGTGCCTTTGGGCAGTGAGCCTTAGGATGATGACTGGTCGAATGCTCTGGTTTTTCTTCAATTAAGCACTGGTCCAAAACATCCCTCTCCTTTATTTCAAAGGACAGGTGAGAGAGAGAAGGACAGGTAGGTGTTCAGAAGGGTTGTAAAGCTTTCTGAGATCACACAGCCAGCCTGTGGCGTGTGTGGACCCACCTCTCCATGCCCCTTGCCTTTCCCACTTGACCACATGGCCTTCCAGACTGGACCCAATAGGTGCATTGTGAGGAGAACCATGAATTTTGTTACCTCATGCCCCCCCCCCCCCAAATTCTGCATCTCAGGTGGCTGGGAGGTTGGGGGGTTGGGACACGACAATGACATCTTTGATTTGAAAATGAACTGTCCAAAGGCTGCATTGGTGTGCTTTCCTTCTTAGAGATACAAATATTTACAATCACTTCTGTCGGAATCAATTTCTGTCAGGAAATGAGAGTTGTTCTGGCTGCTGACAATATTGGTTTTCTGCTGGGCTGCCTTTCTTAAAGCAGCATGGAAATGTTATTTATTGATTAACAGGTGGTTCGATTGCTCCTGAATGTTGTGACCAAAACAAGTTTGGAAATGAAGCAATTTAAAATACATCTCAAAACTCAATTGCTTCAGAAGATTAAAGCCAAATTTAAAAAGGAAACTGGACTGTAGATGATCGTCTTGGGGTTTGCGGGGGTAGCTATGGCTGATCGTCTTGGGGTTTGGGGGGGGGTAGCTATGGCTTTCTCCATTATTCCTTCTTTAAATCTATTCATCATTCAGAAAAGACTTACTGGACATCTGTTCCTCAGAACTGGGTTGGCCCCAGGCAGCTAGAAATTAATAAGGGAAGGTAGGGAACCCAGTTTTGTGAGTGGAGACATGAGTCCACATCTGGCTTCTAGCCTTCCTGGGTGATTTACACACTTCATCTGTGTGGGGGTCCATGAGTGTGTACACTGAAGCCAGAGGCTGGCTTTAGGTCTCTTCCTCTATTACTGACTACCTCATTTTTTTTTTTTTTGGTTTTTCGAGACAGGGTTTCTCTGTGTAGCTTTGTGCCTTTCCTGGAACTCACTTGGTAGCCCAGGCTGGCCTCGAACTCACAGAGATCCGCCTGGCTCTGCCTCCCGAGGCTGGGATTAAAGGCGTGCGCCACCACCGCCCGGCGTTTTTTTTGGTTTTTCGAGACAGGGTTTCTCTGTGTAGCTTTGCGCCTTTCCTGGAACTCACTTGGTAGTCCAGGCTGGCCTCGAACTCACAGAGATCCGCCTGGCTCTGCCTCCCGAGTGCTGGGATTAAAGGCGTGCGCCACCACCGCCCGGCCTCATTTTTTGAGAGTCTTTTGATGAACCTAAAGCTCGTTTGGCTAGACTGGCTGGCCAGTGAACCCCTAGGATCCCCCTGACTCTCTCAACACTAGGATTGCAAGCCCATTACACCTAGCTTTATATGTAGGTGCTGAGGATCCACACTCAGGGCCTCACCTCATGCTTATGCAGCAAGCCACTGAGCCTTCTCCTCAGCCCTGACTGACATTTCGGTCTTTACATTTACAGATGCCTTCAATTAATAGAGAAACATCAGTGGAATTAAATGTTAATCACTGAGAATTTCATAATGAATAGTGTCCTGCTCCAATGGTTCCTAGAGGAACAGCCTGCCCACTGGTGGCATTCTACCTTACAGGGTAGCTCAGGAAGGAATTTCTGTCACATCTATGGACATGAGATGGTATTTAGCTACATGAGAAATGCAGTTGACTTGCATAATTAAGTATATTTGTGTCAGTTTAATAACTATATCAGTAGCTGGCAAATGCTTTTGTATGAAAACACAGTTTAGGCACTTAATTTTATAAGGTGCTGATTGAAAGTTTTGATGAAGGATACATATGACCTTAACATATAGGTTTTGAGACACACAACTATTAAAAGCAAAGGAAAGAAAAAGCGTTTTAGTTAACATGCTGAAAACCTAAATAAGGGTGTTGTCAAAATGCATTTAAAATTATATAAAAGGGACTGAGGCTTAGCTTGATGTGTGCAAGACTCTGGGTTGGCTCCCCAGTACCACCGAGACAGTCACACCAGAACAGGATGAGCCATTAGTATCAACATGATTGTGACCTTAGAGAGCAGTAAGGGCCACGGAGTGCCATTTCCTCATATCTCCACGTCTTATCCACCTGTGTGTGCCGAGTACCTAGATGTTAGTGTAATTTTCTTTATAGGCCATAGTCAGGGACCAGTCAAGAAGCTGATTCCAATGTGGACAAGAAAGGAAAGTCAGGATGGCCTGGAAGTTCTGTCATCCTCCAAAAGTAGGATGCTGTGAAAATTCCAGACCTGCAGGAAAGACAAAGGAGCCAGCTGAAAAAGAAATAGGTCCCTCTTTAAGGTGCTGATTTGCATGCTACAAGTACAACTGCAATCAATAGTTGTTGGTCTTTTAAGTACAAGATGTCTCTGGAAAGCCATGAGTTCTTGAAAATTGGTGGGGGTAGGGGGGGCTCGTGTGCCCACATGTGTACATGTGAAGGCTAGAGGTTGATGTGGAGTATCTTCCCCTATCACTTACTCTCCACCGTATTTTTTGAGACAGGGTCTCACTGAACCTGAAGCTTGCCCTTGAAGCCATACCAGCTGGGCAGTGAGCCTCAATGTTCCTTCTGTCATCCACCTCATTCCACCTCTCAGGGCTGACTGTCAACACAGGCTGTTGAGCCTAACTTTTCCGTTAGGGCTGGGAATCTTAACTCGGGTCCTCTAGCTTGTACATCCAGTTCTTTACTCACTGAGCCATCTTGATGATAGGGCTGATGGTGTAGGTGCCCTGGTAGAATACATGCTTACCATGAATAATGCCCTAGACTTGATCCCCAGCTCGCACGGGTACACACACACACACACACACACACACACACACACACACACACACACAAGTCCTATAGACAAAAACTTCATGTGCTACTTTAATTACTTAGCTAATCATATGTAACAGATAGAAATTAGATGTTTTAGCCAAGAGGTAAGTTTAGTATATGTGAGGTTTAGTTCTTGAAGTTCTGTGTGTCCCTCTACAAAATGGTACATGTATAGACATTGAGGATGGTAGTTATGATTATTATTAAGAGATTTCCAGAAAATCTTGGAGCTGGGAAAATAAGGAATGCAGGTTGGGGCCATAAATAACCAAGTGGGAAAAGTTTGGAAATTGGTGTTACAAGTGAATGGGTTAGGAGAATAGCTGAGAGATCAAATCATATGCCCCAAATGTAATGTGCATAAATGTGGGTGGTGCAGGAGAGTTGAGTGTTGTAGTACCTTTGCAGCCCTTTTGTGCATGTCCCAGGAACCTAAGATGCTGGGTACTCACAGACATCAAAGACTGACCTTGGACAGTGACTCCAAGTTTGTTGCTAAGGAAGACTAATGATGCTAACTCTTGTGGGAGTCTGGAAAGTAGAATGAGCAATTAAGGAAAGTGAGAGACCCTCCAAGAATGGGAAGGGTGTTCAATATTGGGGGGGAAAAAAAGGCTGTTGGATTTACTTTGTCTAGGGTTATTTTTGTTTTTGTTTTAACATTCATTTACCTGGAGGGGGGCTGGACCGAGCCTGTATGTGGAGGATAGTAGACCACTTGAGGAAGTTTTCTCCTTCTACGATGTGGGTTCTGGGACTCAAAGGTCAGATCATTAGGTTCAGCAGTAAGCACCTTCAACCACTGAGGCATCCCACCAGCTAGGTGTTTTATAGCACAATAGCAAAATCTGGACAAAACTGAGAGGAATTCTCAGAGTGGTTAATTCTCCAAGCTATAATGGACTACACCAACAGAGGTCCCATATGCTCTGTATATGTCCCCTTGCCCCAACCAGGCAGTTGTTGATCACACACTGCTCACCAGTTAGGAGTGGTTGGAGCCCTGCTCTGTCGGTCTCTTATTCCATCTTTGACCTTGACTGGCTGCTAGCTGTTAGTCACTAGCCAGTGTCGCTGCCCTCCAACTTCGCAGGTGTCTCAAGTACTGTTAGTTAGACTGAGCTCTCTTTCCTTACATTTGAGCGGTCAGTTTGTAGCTTCTCCATGGCAGGGAGTTAGCTCTATCCCAGCTACCAGATGCATGTGCAATCTTTCTTGGTGACCTCACATTTTAGCTCCCTATGTGTCTGCAGTTGCTCCTGAAGTTGGTACAGACTTGCTAGTAGATATCATTATGCTTCGGTCTGTTAGAATTAGCTGTATTAGACACAAGGACATGTGAAAAGACAGCAGTGCCTTCCATGTGTTCCTCAAGGGTTTGGAGTGGCCTGCTGTCACTGGCCCTGAGCCCTATTCCTCTTCTTATCTAGCTTGGTTAGCTCTTACCCAGTTACAAGCCCTCTTACCTTCAATGCTCCAAACTGTCATTTTAACCCTTAATCTTCCTTTCTCCCCAGCCTGTTCACACTGCAACATTGTATGAGCAACATGGGATTGTCACAGTGGGCCCTTTTCCCTCAGTACCTACCGAGAGCAACTCCTACCCTCAAGAGCATTGGGAGAACTTGTCCTGAACCATGTTGACATAGTGACTGAACTTGGTCTGAAGTAGAACCAATCAGCAAATGGAAGCTTCCATTTAAGTCACCTTGGAGCTGGGTGGAGTAGTACAAGCCTATAATCCCAACTACTCAGGAGGCTGAAGCAATAGTATCAAAAGTTGACTGCTGTCCTGGGCAGCGTAGCAAAACTCCATCTCAAAAGAAAGAGGGAGCGGGGACAGTAGCTGGGACTGTAGTCCAGTGTTCCAGCATTGTCCTGACAAGTCCAAGGTCCCAGATTCAATCCCCAGTTCAAGAGAGCAGGAGTCACCTTGAAGGAGTCACCTCTGTTCTAGGAATCTATCAGCCAGTGGCCCAGAGGCTATGAATTTAACTCTCCTGGGAAGAAGATAATCCTCTTTGGGGTCTCATAAGTGCACTTCTGGAGAAGTACAAAAATGAGTTTTGCAGAGATAAAGAAATTGGACAGATCAACAGCAGTGCTTCTTACAAATTTAGGTATACACAGGGGAAAACTTGTGTTCTTAACATGCCCAAAGCATGTAGGAGCAGTTACATGAGACTTGGTTGAAACTGGATTATTTGACTGTTAATGTTTAAGACATTCTGATTTAAAAGGTTTTAAGTTTTGTCTCATCAGTTGTGTTTAATTAAGGGAATATGACAACACTTATAGTTGTTAAATTTATTTCAGGAGCAAGTGAACCATGGAAAGAAAGTGGGGGAATGGTCCTGGATCCCAGCAACAAGGAAGGAAATAGACCTCCCAGGGCCTGGAAGGATGCCAGGCCCATAGTAAGGACCCAGTAAACACTTGCTGAGGAAAGGGATAGGTAAGATTTATTTCAAGAGTGAAGCCAGTAAGAGAAGGAAAGGGGAAAGCAACATGATTAGACATTTATTTTATAATGTGTAAACAGCACTGTTTTAGGTGTCAGACTAGAGAACAGATGGGGAGGGGCTTCATCGTGTGGTATCTAGGCACATTTAATGAGCAATTCGGCCCCCCATGGAAATAACCATGCAGCTATTGGAAAGATTTAGATGACCCATGTGGAGATGAGTCGCCCATCCACCTCTCTAGGGCATGGGCAGGGTTAAGCACTGTTCAAAATCACTGTCAGAGTGAATGGTGAGCTCTTTACATTCTTATTCTAAGCCCCATTCATGTTCGTTCATATTTATGTAAATAAGCAAGAGTGACAAGCGATGGAGCAGCTTGACTCCCTGATTGTTGCCCTAGCTGTGTTGCCTCGCCTGTGTTGCCCTAGCTGCCTTAAGCCACAAGACTGTCCGTCATATGGCCAGCTAAGTCTACCCTTAGGCCCACACCAGCCACCCCGAGTCTCTAGGAATCTCTTTAAGAAAGCTCCAGGAAGATTGCGGTTGATGGCTCTGCCTCCTGAGACCGCAGCCGCAGCCAGGGCCAGTGAAGCAGTGTGTGCTGCAGCATTTACCTGTCTGAGGCTTCCGTGAACTCCTAATTATTCTGCAGCCATATCTACCTGGCCAGAGCAGGAGCACTTACCCAAAGGCCTACTGTGACGGGTGCTAGAGGCCAGGGCTGTGACAAGCCAGTTGTCCAAGCTCTTTTGAGGCGTCCACTAGGAGACACTCCTGGGCTGCCTTCCCTGGTGTTGCGATAAAAGCTGTACTCTCTCAGGCGGTCATTTCTTTTTCCCACCATCTTTCAGTAGTACAGCCAAGCTGGTGACATGAAGAAAAAAGGGGGGGAGGGCGGCAGGTTGGTAATAAGAGCAACAGCTGAGCGGTAGGCAAGCCAAGCTGCAGGCATGGCAAGCCATTCGATACATTGGCAGGCAGAGAAGCAGCTGAACAGGTCAAGTGACCAGGGCCGGGAGAAGTGCCTGTTAACGGAGGGAGCAGAGAAGGTGGAGAGCTGAGAGCAAAGCAGGACACAAAGCTCTAATGAGCCAGAGGAGAGAAATCACAAGCCATAGTCGACCAGGAGGGCACCAGATTGCCGAGAGGTCTTCAGAACCAGTGGTCTTCTCAGCCCCGTCCGAAAGTTATAAAACTGACCCCGTTGTAAGGGCTGAGACGTACTGGCCTCCTGGGCCTGGACAATAGTTAGAACACTGGCTGGTGTTAAAGGCTGAGGAGTCCTAGCTTCCAAGGCCTACACAAGAGCGGCAATACTCGTGCAGCCAAAAGTCCTGATACCAGAGGTCTGTCACACTAGAGAGCGAGTGCCTTCTAGAGCTGCTCAGACCTGCCTCTTGCTGCAGACCATGGAAGGAAACCCAGTCTGTGCATCAGCGTCTTGCCTACCCACCATCCCTATTTCAGTAAAGCAAAAGAAACACAACCAGTGAGTTGATAACAGATGTAGAGCATGTGTCAGGCTCCATGCGAGCATGGAAAATCAGGGTGCAACTAATTGTGTGAAACACTCTGCTATTGGCGAACTGTGTTTACAGGAATTTCATGAATGGGGGTTCTAGGTGCACAAGGAACCCGGAAATTTAGGGACAGTCGAGGTCTTCTAGAAGACTCAGGGTCAACTACTCTGTTCCACTTAATTCATTTGTGCAACTCTCACACCACATAGAGCATTTGGAGCACTGGAGACCACTGGGGTGTGAGGGAGCCTTGTTACTCTCAAAGTGGGGAGAAATGACATGGGATAAAATAACCAACCAAGGTCTTGTCAGCCAAGTTCCTGGGGTTTCCTATACTGTTTGGTATCTAACAGTATTGGTGAAATTATTAAGGCCACTCCACGTAGTTAAAAGGAGATTTATTTAATGGTGTAACTTACAAATTAAGGGATAGGTAGGTCGCGGGGTCTGGGGAAGGTGTATCGCAGTCCAGCGGTGTTCTCTGGAGCTCTGCTTGGCCCACCTCCACCATCCAGGGTCCCCGAACCGAGAGCGCTCGCCGATCCAGATCTCGGGTCTCCAGGCGCCTCCCTTGGCCCCGCCTTGTAGGCGTGACAGTTGCCCAAGTCTCAATGGGGGTTGGAACTTCCAGATCAAAGCTGGAATGGCTACCCACTACATAACAGCCTTCACACTACTGTGAGGTAAGGACATACAGACCAAAGAGTTGACCTGATGGTCACAGGTGACAGTAAAGTCATCTCTACCAGAATATAAGCCTCAGGAAAATAATCCCTATGCATTTTTCCATCCCCTGTATCACCTGATTGTCTGGAGAATGACCTCAAAGAAAGCTTGGTGGTGAGAGGGCATTCTCTGGTCACATGTCAAATGACCATCCTTCCCAGCTTCTACAGATGTAAGGTAGGGGGAGAAGACTTTCTATCATAAAAATTTCCACACATTCCTTTCTAGCCAAGGAGCTCACAGCATAGTGGGAGATGCAGACAGAGGTAAGAAGACATGAATGTTCAACTCCACTCAGTTGTTCATAGGACATACACACCCAGGCTTCATCTCAAACCAGACAAGTTGTAGTCACCTGACAGCTCACCATCTCTCAAAGATACCAGACTGTGGGGGCCCACAGGGGCTCCCTAGTAAGACCTTACTCAAGGACAGAGAATCTGAGCTTGCTTTACCCAGCAGGGCTGCGTAATTGGATGATTTGGCCACCGGTATGGTTACCGGGTATTTTGAAGTGTCTACACTTGGCTGTATGTTGTGCTTTGCTCTTGAAAGGGGAAGGTCTTTTGCCTTGCCCCTTAACATTGGATGAAAAGCCCTTTGGAATAAACCTCAAGGTGACTGGGTATTGACCCAGGACCCTCCCGGAGCTATCCTGTGTCTCTGTCTTTCTTCATATCTCCATCTATATTTCTATCTAATTCTTCTTCATTCCTCTCTCCTCCTCCCAAGAACCCTTCGATAGGTCAAAGCTGGACTCTCAGACCAGACACTTTTATACCTGAAGATTTCCCCACCACTTTTCTGATTGACGGACTCCTTCACCACTCTTTAAAACCCCAGACCAAGTGACCCCCCACTCTGAAGTTCTGACCTCCCAGGCAGTTAATGACTCTCACAGCCCCTTTTACTATTTTTACATCTGTGCCATACCTGTTAACATACCTCTCTCTTTCTGCTTAACAGGAGACTTCTGTGGGCCCGCAACAGAACCATCTCACTTCTCTATGACCTCTCCCCAGATGATCTGAATCTGATGGCTCAAGAACTCACTAGACAACTGCTACCTTGGTGTAAGGAAGAAAAACAACCATTGTTCTAAAAACAGAATAACTCTGGGGAGCAATTCATTATGAAGAGGGAGCCAACTTGCTCAATCATTCCTTCAGCGTTTATGGAAGGTCGACCATGGGTCAAAACCATTCTAAAGATACAGGCCACAGGATCTGTATTTCTTAACCTATGTGCTCAAAAGAAAATGAGGCCTAAAATGATGAGCGTGGGACAATGTACCATGAATGAGAGAGAAAAGCAAGAAAGACACATCGATCCTGAAGAGTCAGGAGGACAGCTGGAGGGTAACTCAAGGGGGCTAGTGGTCCTACAGAGACAGGACACATTGGTCCAAGATCCAGAAGCAGGACAGAGAAAACCAGGCTCAGGTTTGTGTAGTCATCAGAGGAGGCAGAAACAAAAGGATCACCCTAGCATTGAAAGGAACATTCAAAGGCTGCTTTCCTTGGCCAACAGCATTTAAGTGGCTCTTTGGTATCATTCCCAGAGTCCAGACCTACAACAAATGAAGCCTAATTCAATATGACTTGTCTTTCTAAAACCAAGTTTAGAACACAGACATGAAAAAAAGGCCATGGGTGGACACAAGAGATGAGATGGCCATTTACAATCTAAAACAAGGCCTCAGAGTAAAACCAAGCCTGCAGACTCCCTGGGCTTTGGCTTTTAGACTCGGACTTCTTGAACTTTGGAGTAATGGAGGCCTGCTAGTTAGGACAGTCATTCTGATATCTGCTATGTTGCCCTTAGCCAACTGATAAATAAGCTTTGAGAAACAGACATGAATGCTACTTGTTAGAATGTAGAATAATGTGGATTCTGATAAGCTAACTGGTCAACCCTCCATGGGTCACATTTCATCTCCATTCCTCCAAAGAACACCTTGAATATTCCTTGTATCATGTTGCTAAATGGCGTGGCTCCTTGGCTGATAGACCTCTGGCAGGAAGAAGATGGCACCTCAAACTAGGCAATCTAGGCAGAATAAAGAGACTAGGCAAAGATGTATTTGGGTTTAAAGAAGCAGAAAAGAGCTAATGTAGTACCTACCAGCTTTCCCCCTCACTCTAGGCCTGCAGGGAAGGAACTATGTCCTGTGACATGGAGCCTGGAAAGCAACATGCTACCAGCCCTTATACTTAGCCAAGGACACTGGGGAACAAATGTCCAGATAGTGCAGTCTTCCCAAATCCTTGGCCTCCTTCCCTAGCCTCCTTTTGAGCTGAGGCCAATCTATACACAAGTCTTGGCTGCCTTGCATTGCACTGGGAGGGCCATGGGCCATGGAGCTGCCCCGTGGGATCAACTGTCTCCTATGCTTCACACATAAGGGACAGTCCCAACAAAAGCATATTTCAACCTGGGAGAGTAGACAGTCAAGGCCTGTCATCAGAAGCACCTGCACATTCAGGTTCTACAGGATCTAGCTCAGAGAGAAATACTGTAGCGGCCAAAAGAACATGTGTGAGAAACCTTGAGAGAGAAGCGTCCAAAGACATTACATTCATCACCAAGTGTTTAAAAAACAGAGGCAGGTGGATCTTTGTGAGTTCGAGGCCAGCCTGGTCTACAGAGCGAGATCCAGGAAAGGCGCAAAGCTACACAGAGAAACCCTGTCTCGAAAAATCAAAAAAAAAAAAAAAAGTTTGGCAGAGAAGAAGGACCTGCTTTGTCTTTTTACCATCTCCTCCCAATGTCCAAGTAGATTTAAGGGCTTTCGCCATTTGCTCCTTGACTTCATTTACTTACTTCCTGGGAGTTGTAGAATTGCTTTTGGTGTATCTTGGTTGGTACAGAATCTTCTGCAAGTTGGCATAAGTAGTCTCATGTCACCATTCGCAAAACAAGAGTTCAGGAGAGTGACTGGGGTAACTTTAGTGTGTTCAACTCTCTGCAGCTGCCACACCTCCCACCTGTCCCTAGAAAGTGATGGCAGCCCTCCTGCTAATTCTTGGGTAGCCACCTGGAGGCGGGAGATGGAGTGAGCTCTAAACCAAGTATGTTAGTCATTTTTCCCAGTACTGTTGCAGAACACATAACAAAAGCAGCCTAGGAAGAACTGACTTTGGCTCCTGGACAGAGCGCATATAGCCAGTCACAGTAGAGAAAGTGTAATGGCAGGTGGTTCCTTGACAACAGGAGTGTGGGGCTGGGTGTCCTCGACATATATCTCTGTGGAGCAGGAAGCAGAGACTGGAATACCAACACAGCTTTCCTCCTTTTTAGGTTTATTTAGGGCGTATCTTCAGCTCGCAGGATGCTGCCACTCATATTCATAATTGTGGATCTTTCTAGAAATGCCCTCCCAAGCATACCCAGATTGTATCTGCCAGTGATTCTAAATTCAGTCACACTGATAAGATGATTACATCCACTCTCCAGTCTAAGACAACAAAAGAACACTGAGAATGGTAACCAAGGGGCCTTTTGTTAATAAATGCAGCACAGATGCTGACTGAGCAGAATCCTCTGTTGGATCAAGCAAGACCCTGGGCCAGGGGCTGGACTGGAAAGGGGCGGTCCGTGTCACTGGGATCTCATCTTGGCTTAACCTTGACTCGCTGGTATTTGTCATCTCCTTTGAAAGGATTAAGACACAGAGCATGTAGTGTAGAATATAGAAAGAATTTATTAGAGTAAAATGTGGCAACCTCAAAAAGTAAGAGTAGACAATGGCCGGGGAGGCCATAATGCAGGGCACACTTTAGAAGTGAGAATGGACAATGGCCAAGGGAGTCCTTGTGCCAAGTTATATTTTAAAGCAGCCTTTGTACTGCTTTTTGATTTTTTTTTTTTTTGAACAGACAACTTCCTGAGGAGTGATTTTCTGCACAGGTGATTGACAGGCCCATTTGGATTGACTCTTCAGAGAGAGGAAAATGGTATGTCTTTGTGCGGTTTTTTGTTTGTTTGTTTTGGTTTTTTTTTGTTTTTTTCTTTCTAGAAAGCCCCTGGCTAGATAGTGATCTTTTGATCTTTGGGGCAGTTTAGAATGTTACTTCTCTACCCAGGACCAGAGTAGGACCCAGAGCCTACTCTTCTGACCAGTTGTCAAAGTCCTGCAGATTTAGTTTCTGATGTCATAAGCTGCTAGTTATGAGAGAGGGGGTTTCATCCTCACTGACTTTCCTACTAATAGCTGACTAACTACCTGTGGTGCTTTGAATAGTTATGGCCCCCAGAAACTCATGTGTTTATTCATAGGGAATAGCACTATTAGGAAGTATGGCCTTGTTGGAATAGGTTTGGCCTTGTTGGAGGAAGTGTGTCACTGTGGGGGTGGACTTTGAAATCTCCTATGCTCAGGCTATACCCAGTGTGGTTCACAGTTCTCTTCCTGTTGCCTGTAGAACAAGATTTAGAACTCTCAGCTCCTTCTCCAGCACCATGTCTGCCTGCATGCTGCCATGCTTCTCGCCATGACGATAACGGACTAAACCTCTGAAACTGTAAGCTAGCCCCAATTAAATACTTTCCTTTATAAGAGTTGCTGTAGTCGTGGTGTCTCTTCACAGCAACAGAAACCCAAATTACCTCAGAACACAGGGAAGGGACTGCAGCAGCCACTGTTACTAAAGCAGTAAATATGTAAATATCTTGCTATTGTAGTTAATACTGTGATCATACCTGTGTCTACAGATTGACTGGCAGCCTTCTTGTCATGGTACCTACTTTGGTCCCATATAGTTTGGGACATTGTTTTAGGTCTGGGTTTTAGTGCTGCATATCCCAGGTTCCAAGATTCTTATTAGTACTACCCACAATATCATTGCAGTAGCTGTGGTGTCTACAGGTGAGGTCACCTTTGTCTGTTTTTTGTTTGTTTGTTTGTTTGTTTGTTTTTTGTTTTTTGAGACAGGATTTCTCTGTGTAGTTTTGTCCTGGATCTCACTCTGTAGACCAGGCTGGCCTCGAACTCACAGAGATCTTCCTGCCTCTGCCTCCCGAGTGCTGGGATTAAAGGCGTGCGCCACCGCCGCCGCCGCCGCCGCCGCTGCCGCCGCCGCCGCCGCTGCCGCCGCCACCACCACCACCCAGCTTGTCTGGTTATTTTTAATCTCATCATCCATGTCTGTGTATGGTGTTAACCTATTCAGAGATTTTCTGACCTAAGCAGGTGGATAAAGGCTAATGTCCTGCATCTTTCCTGGGCATGCATTCCTGAATATCCTAAATACTTCCTGGGCATGCATTGCTGAATATCCTAAATACTGTCATCATCTGCCTGATGATTTTCTCCCTAGAACTGTAAATGTCCTCAGGGCACAAGTTCCAGTGACTGACAGAGAATGGGCATTCCACCAATTTGAAAGGAATCACATAGCTAGACAGAAGCCAACGGATATAGGTAAGCTTGGCTCTTCTGATGTGCTAAGAAAACTACATATCACTTCCAGCTTGGTATTTGTCCCGCCATCCTGTGTGAAGAGAAAAGCCCTAATTTTAGTTTTCCACTGTGAGGCAAGGCCTAGTGCTGAGACAAGCAGAAGACTAAAACTCAGTAATTACCATGTGGCTTCTAATTATGCATTTACTCATTCCTTTATTTAATTAATGGAATTACTTAATTAATTAATTTTATTCATTCCATTAGCCAATCATTCCATTAATACCCTGTTTTCCTTTGAGACCGATGATGTGCCTGGACCAGTCCAGCCACTGGGGATACATACCATGAAGAATGAGATGGACAAGGGCCCACTTCTCGTGGGGTCTGGGATGATACTCACTAACCAAGCATAGAGAACTTCATCTCAGGATCGAGTGGCACATTGGCCAAAAAATAAATAAATAAATAAGATAGTGTTTCTAGAGTATGTGTGGAGGATGAAGGGAAACGAGTCTTTGGAATGAGTGGTCTGGAAAAATCTCTGCATGGAGGTGATAACCAAAGCTGAAGCCTGAGTGACTGAAAAAAAATACAGCGAGTTGGAAATTTCCACACAGAGGAAATGGCTGGTACAGAAGTCCTGAGGCCAGAAGAAGGCTTCTGTGCTTGAGGAGCAGAAGGCAGGGGGCTCTGCAAGAAGTGGAGGAATGGGCCTACTGATGTCTTTATTCCTCTCCTCTGTGTTGGTGTTATCAGAGACATTTGCTCCTCTTCTTTTATGGAAATATCCTCTTTCGGACTCTATACCCCCTGAAAATAAACCCCAAATTTCCAAAAACTACAAAGGAAACTTTTTTTTTAATGTTCTACTTATTTAGAAACATGAGCCAACTTTGTAACTACAAACTAAACCTATCTAATAATCTCAAAGGTCAGCCATCTATTATTTTTTCTATGAAAAGCCAGATAGTGTAAATATTTTTCATTTTGCAGACCACAAGATACCTGCTGAAAGTACTCCACTCTTCCTTGTGGAAGTAGTCAAAGGTAACTTGTGAATGAATGGATTATGGCTTGTCCCAATAAAACTTTATTTACAAAAACAGACAGCAAGTAGGATTTGGCCCCTAGACTGGAGTTGGTCACTTATAACCAACTTCTAATGATAATTATTATTTTAAAAGATTTTATTTTTGTTAATTTAGTACTTACCAGGGCCAAGAAAAACAAGGCCTTTGGGGAGTATTCCTGTGATCTGGAATTGAGCGGATGCACTGAACCAGGCATTGCCATGAGGGTGCCCCTGAATGGAACTTCAGTGACTATTTGTGATACTATTCTATTGAGATGTTTTTCAGACTGCGGTATCATTATTGTTCTGTTTGTTATTTTAAGACAGAGTCTCAAGATGTATTCTGCTCTGGCCTGGAACTCATTGTGTATCCCATCTGACTTCAAACTTGCAGCCTTTTTCCTGTCTCTGCCTCCCATGTTCTGTGGACCACCACAACCAGCTCAGTTATTTAAATTATCACATTTTTTTCTACTACCAAGCCAAAGCCATTTTTTTTTTTTTACCCTTTGCAGTGGACTGGTAGCCATCTACCATCATAAGTAGCTATACCACGTACCATGAAAGAGAGAGCAAACCTCAGATGGAATTATGCAAAACATGTATAAGCCAGCAAGTGTAGGCATGGGCATGCAAGCTTTTCCTGAAAGTCTGCAAGATCCTGTTTTTAACTCTTGTGAAGGTCAGTCTTGATTGTCAGTTTGATTGGCTCCGTAAACACCTAGGGAACTGCTGGAGAGATGGCTTGGCAGCTAAAAGCATTGGCTGTTCTTCCAGAGGACCCAACTCTAATCTGAAAAACATGGTAACGCACAACTGTCTGTTAACTCCAGTTCCAAGGGATCTGGCGCCCTCTTCTGGCCTCCATGATCACTGCACACAGGTTGTGTATAGACATATATACAGACAAAATATCCATACCTATAACATAATATAAACTTTTCAAAAAAAATATTCAAAAGAAGCATCTAGGAAAATAGTTAAACATGCTGTGGGTGTTACCTGTTAAGCATTCTCAAAGAGAACTAAATAGGGGAGGCATACCTGTCCTGAATGGGAATGCTACCATTCCATAGGCTGGGAGCCTGGAATCAAAGGAAGAGGAGAAATCCAGTGAGGATGGGCATTCTGTGTGTCTGTTTCCTGGCTGCCAAATATTGACTGCTCTGCTTTACCATGTTTCATACCATAATAGGTTGAAACCACAAGCCCAAATAAATCTTCTCCTAAGTTGTTCATTTAGGTATTTTCCACAAGTTGATGTCTAAGTCACTTAGACTAGACAGCAGCTCAAGAAAAGTTCCTATGAAGCAGATTCCCAATGATTCCACAGTAGGGCTTAGCTTTTTCTGTCTGGAGTAGCAGCAAAGCCCTGCAGTGAGCCCAGGGCACCATGATGAAAGGGGTAAGGATTCATGCTCACTGACTTCCTGAGTCCACCACACAGGGCAAGTAGGTCTGCATAAAATGCATGCCCATTCCAAGGTTCTCAAATGCCTTCTACTAGTGAAAATATAAGGCCATGACTTAATAAAAAGTTTCATAGCTTATAGCAGCATTCTTGAAGTTTGCATTCCTGAACAGAGCTTTTGCATGTTGACATTTTAGTGCTGTGCTAAAAGCAACCTACATGTATACATTAGAGTGTGTGTTGAGATATTTTAAATTACACAAAGTACAATGCACTTCTCTTCTTTTGTAATTAATCCCATTTTTTTTTTCAGTTTCTTGTTCTGGACCTCTTAAGTTGAGAGATGTAGTAAATTTTATGACTTTATTTTTAATTTGGATATTGTGTCAATATATTATAAGTAATTATTATATTCCAAAGTCTAAAACAATCCTTAACTGTTCTTCTTCTTACAACTGTATTATTAAAAAAAAAAAATACCTCTACCTCAGTAAGTAGTTCCACCAAACTAATTCTATATGACAGGTGATGGTCTGTAACACAGGCATGCCTAAGCCAAACACAGGAGATGCACTGACCTCATAAAATCTTTCAAGCATGAAAATTTGGGATGTGGCTTTCATCCAAATGTAGGACATGTGAAAATTAAAAATAAAAAAAAATAAAAAAAATAAACTTCCTGTTTCAAACTCAGCAGGTGAAGGTGCTTGCTGCCAAGGCTGATGATCTGAGTTCAATCCCTGGGACCCACATGGTTAAAGGAGACAGCTGATTCCTGTAAGTTATCCCTGGCCCTCCACACAGAGTGTACATGAACCCTACACACACACACACACACACACACACACACACACACACACACACACACACACAAATCAATATGTAATGAGACAACCTAAAAAAACAGCCAAGACAAGAATGTTAATTTATTTAACTGGACAGGTTCTAAAAGTACTCAGCAAAAGAGACGTAAAAGTTAGCTCTGCTGCATACAAACTGCCAACACTGTCTTTCAACAACCGTTCGATTATAATAGCTCCATGGGGGTTGGCTGTGAGTCAGCTGATCTGGGTTGGGTTCAGCCAAGCTTGCCTCCAGTGCAGGTTGAATGGGGACTCTGTTACAGGCTGAGCTCAGCTGGGCTGTTTTTGCTGTGGCAGCTCTGCTCCATGTAGCTTTCATCTTCCTGCTTGGGGGGAGGGGGAGTTAGACTTGGTTTGCCCTTCTTTTCGGGATGGCAGGCACAAAAGGGAGCAAAAGGGAGTCCCCAGTGCTCCCCAAGTCTCTCCTAATACATTGGCCAAAGCAGCATTAGTCTGGCCACCTCAGAATCAAGGGGCTGGGAAATGTGTGTGTTCTGCTTTTGACAGGGAGAAGCTACAAAGTGATAGACCTGTACGGTAGTGAAAATGTGGGATCATCGGTGCCTGTGTACTGTGTTTACCATCATTTGTCTTCCACTCAGCCAGTGGGGTCATATTTGTCTGGAAAAAAAAGAGCGAACCTTGCACCGGTTCAGCAGAAAGAAGAGTCCAAGGAATCACAGGCTCTGTTGTAAACTAGACGTGAGTCCACATTTGATTCCCACTCCCCATATCGGCAGTTTGGGAGACTTAGATGCCCTCCAGAGTGAATGCCCATTCTTCTCTCCTACTTAGCATCCTTTGCCCCTCCTGATGACAGCAAACTGCTGTAAGGGAATCTCCCCTCCCTCATGGAATGGTTATCCATTGGTAGCACTGCCAGGAAGTCCCATGGCCTTGGGACCACCCCATCCCCAGTCTCTAAAATCAGGGGATGGCTAGATTTGTTCCCACTGCATTTCACCCGGCTCACTATTCTAGCACAGACAGACAACTGGCCCCTGCCCAATTCTGACCTGTAGTCGATAGTCTCCTTGAAACATGAAGCTTTCTGATATCACACCTACAGTGGCATCATGCATCCAGGTGGGGACTCTGCAGTTTGGAGGCCTGAGTATGAAGCACAGCTCCAACCTCGCCAGTCTCAAACTTCCCAGCAGTAGAATAAGGATGATAGTATCCACTGTATGGAGCAGCTGTATGGTTTACATTAATCAACACTTAAGAGCTGTGTTTTCTTTGAAGATATTCAAAGTTTTATTCCTCTGTGGAACTGAATAGCTTACAGGCCTAGTCATTCCTTTTTCTGTATCCACCCCCACTTTTGCATTTTGGCACAGTCTGGGTCAGTTAAGCAAGACCTGTCTCTGTCCAGCTCAGACATCAGAGGAGCATCTGTCACCTGGACTTGGTGACCTGTCTCCTGGTCATACACACTGCTCACACTTGTGCCAGAGGAAAGCCAAAGGTGAAGTCTATTCTGGGAATTACTTTTTTATAAATGCAGTGTATCCTGAAAATGTTCAGGCTAAAGCTGGCACTCGCTTGTCATCAAAGGGAGCAACGTGCCAGGCCAGAGCCCGGATGACAGGACAAAAGCTAAGCCCACTCCTCCCTTCCCCTAGCTGGCCACTTAGCCTGCGGCCTCCTGTGATGTTCATTGGCCTCGACATTTCCCATAACTCTTGCCCTTTTAAGATGCATTTGGCACAGTTACAGCTTCCCATGGATGCCGCAGCATCCCCCAGGCACTTCCTCTCCTGCTTCCTGCCAGCGCAGTGTCTCTCATAAGAGAGACCTATAGCAGGCTGATCGTCTTGAGCTAAGGGCTGCTCCAGGAACATCCTGGTCATACAGGAACTGTTGATGAAAGAGTGTGTCTGTTCTCCACTGTCAGTGGACAGCAAAGAGAGTGACAGGAATGCTTTAGGGATGCAGCCGTCCCCTGTTTAGAGATATATGAGGAATGTCTTCAAGAGTTCCCTATGCTAACATTTACACAGAATGATGGAATTTAAGTGACCCTAAGGTTCTTTGCACTGAAACCCCTCACTTCACACAGAGGGACCTGAAGTCCAGAAATGCTACCTATGTTCGTTTGCCTGCCAGGATGACAAAGATGTGTGAGTCCGTATAATTGAGCAATGTTGAAGAAGCTGGGACTACCTAGGGTTCCTTCCCTAGGGATGGAGGTATTAAGTCTCAGAATAAGCACTAAGTTTTAAATATCTGAAGGGTTACTGTATTTTTTTTTTAAAGAGCTTTCTAAGAGATTAGCAAGATCCAGGATGAAACGGTTGCCTCTAGAAGCTTGAACGCCATCTCTGGAGTATCCAGTCACAATCAGATATGAGGAGGAAGCAGAAACATGAAGGCAGAGGAAACGACTAGAATAATAAACACTGGAAACGGCGAGTATTAAAGAACCGGAGCAACTGGAAATGTCCCTGACCCCTGCTGGGAGTGGGACAGTAGAGCCGGCATGGAGATGGGCAGTTACAGTAGGGTTAGCCTAGGTCTTCCCTGTCTTCAAGCAATTCTATTCCTAGGATCAGACACAGAATTGCATACACAGGCTTTGTCAAGGACATTCATGAGTTATTTCTACTGACTATTCCTAGCAGCCCAAAGGGGAGACCCAGGGCCCAAGAGTGGAATGGATAAAGAAAGGCAAGTATATTCACACAGTGGCATACTACTCAGGATTCAAGGTTTTCTTTGTGAAGACCACATAGCATTTTCAGCCTCGCACACCATATGTCTCCACTTGAGCTGCTCAGTTCTGTCAGTGTTGGGCAAGAGCAGCTACAGACAGACATATACAGAAATACATGGGCATAGATCTTTCAGGAAAACTTTTCAAAGCAGATGGCATACATGGTGTGTTCCCTTTTTTGAAAAGTCTTTAAGGTGCAGGGTTATAATGTATGTGAATATGAAAAGATTTATAGTTGTTTAAAGCAGATCTTTAAAGCTGAGCATGGTGGTATACAGCTACAGTCTGAGCCTTTGGGAAGCTCAGGTAAGAAGGTTGAGAGTTTGAGGCCAGCCTAGGCTATGGACTGAGCTCCAGGCTAGTTCTAGTTCATAGCTATTCTAGGCTGTAGGGCAAGCCCTGTCTCAAAAAATTCAAACAAGCCAAAAACAGTTCATAACAAGTTTTTTAAATAAATAAGGACTGAGAATTGGCCTGAGAGATTACTATGGTTTAATGACTAGTCTCAAATCAAAGATAACATCATACTGGAGCTGAGCCTCCTTCTGGTAAGAAAATTCGTAACTAGTGAGTAGTTCCTGTGTGCAAGGCACTCCCAATACCTACTCCTCATAAGAACCAAGAGAAGTAATTGTTATATGCATTTTTATAGATTAGAAGTGGAGGCCAAGAGAAGTGAACTTAGCCAGGATCACTAGTCAGCAGGAACAGTGCTACTGTTTGAGCCCAGATCAGTCTGATATTGACCCGATTCTCAAGCTGCCTCTGCAGGCTTTAAATGCAAACATGGGATCTTATATCAACGGTATAAAAATAAACCATAAGCTCCACCCCAAGAAATACTATCCATCTATCACTGGGTTCTCCTGCTAGCAGCCAAATCTGCCTAGGCTCTGCCTGCTGCCTATGGTAAACACTGGCACAGCTCGGACACAGGCTAGTCACTGACTTTACTCTTTGAAGCAAGCATGGGAAGGGTATGGAGAGAGCAAAATAGAACAGGATCCCGAGGAATGCCATTTCCACAGTTGGTCAGAGCAGAAAGGCAGGTATGCTGAAGTGGAGGAGCCTGTCATATGAGGCCAGTCCAGAAGGGGCCCCCAAACACACCCCTTTGGGAGTCACCTGCCATCCAGTAACATTACCTCTTGGACTCACTCCGTCACTTCCCCTTCTTGCTCCCAACACCTCTCTTCTTATAAGATAGCAGTATCTTCCTCATTGAAGGGGACCCCCAAACAGTGGAGCTTCCTCCTGGACTCTGGATGAAAAAAACAAACACACCCAAACACCTGTTTTCACAGAGAGAGTCTTTATTAAGCGGGAAAGAAAAGTTAAAGTGACTGCTTTCTGACTCAGCCGAAATGACGTTGCAGGTGTAATGTTTAAGAAGAGGAGAAGGGGAGGTCTGTGTTAGAATGAGCTAGGATGTGGTAGTAAAGGAGATAGGGGGTGAGGGAGAAGGGGACAAGAGAAAGGGGGAAAGGGTATTTGTCCCAGAGGAACAAAGGACTGCCTCTGGACAGAGGGGAGGCAGACGTGGCACATAGGCAAATGGAGGCTTATAAAGGTAAAGAGGGAAACCTGTGTTACAACAAGATTTTTTTTTTTATTTTAATTGGGAATGTTAATTAAGTGAACCAAAAGGGGGTTTTGATTGCTGGACTTTGGCAGTCAGCCTCAGAAGGAGGTAGTGGCCAAATAAGGGAATAGCTAGCTTTAGGAATGTAATCTAATAGGTTTTTTTTTTTTTTTTTTTTTAGTGTTCTGCTTGCATGTATGCCTGCGGGCCAGAAGAGGGCACCAGATCTCATTATAGATGGTTGTGAGCTACCATGTGGTTGCTGGGAATTGAACTCAGGACCTCTGGAAGAGGACCCAGTGCTCTTAACCTCTGAGCCATCTCTCCAGCTGTAATCCAATAGTTTTTAGCAAGGGAGAGGGAATGGGGGAGAAGGGCAAGGCCTGCCAAAGCCACATGCTTGTGTGGGCTCGTGTCCCTTTGCCCATGTAATTCAGAGAACTGCATAGGTTGAAGGTCTGCCTTGTTAGGTTTGAGGACTGTTGTGTGACAAAATTTTTCCTGGGGAGACACCACACACACACACACACACACACACACACACACACACACACACACACACACCTGCTCACCCCAGATAGAGAACCCATGACAGATACTACCAAAGTCCAACTTGGTGAACCAATGAGTTTTACTGGGGTCACTTAGAGGAGTATGGGTGAGGGGTTACTTACAGGAGCAGAAATGACTCAGGCATCTGCATCAACAAAGGCCACCCCAGCTTTAGTGACAGCTCACAAAACTGGAAACCTGGAGCACACTGCACAGCTTGCAGGCAGCTCAGTATGTTGGAGAGTGTCCTTTCCAAGTGAGTATTCAGCTTGGCTGCTCTCTGCTAATTCCAGGCAGCTGTTCTGGTTTCAGACTCTTTTACACAGCTTAGCTTGGCAGAGAGTGACTCCCAGCAGCTTGACTTGCTTACTCTGGGAGGGCGGGGCCTAGTGAATCTGGTCAGTTTCAGGGACTTCCTGAAGCTATTTTGAGTAGTTTGCCTTCCCTACAGGAGGAAATGTTTCAAGCTTGGAGGAAACTGTTACACAACAGGGCAAATTTCAGTGAGTTATCAGTGGTTTAAAACCAGGAGATTTGTTCATCATAGTGGTGCATGCCTTTAACCCCAGCACTAGGGAGGCAGAGGCAGGAGAATCTCTGAGTTCTAGGTCAGCCTGGTCTGCAGAACAAGTTCCAGAACAGCAAGGGCTGCACAGAGAAACCCAGTCTCAACCCCTCTCCCCTGAAACAGGAGATTTACATTAATACATGTATACTACTAAGTGAAAAAAGCTAGTCTGAAAGACTACATGTTATGTGACTCAAACTACACCTGATTTTCTCAATCCTATGGTGGTACAAAGTGGTAGATATTCAGTAGATCTCTATTTCTAATTCTGATCTTTTCCTAGACTGGTAAGTTATGGTTTAACACTTCTGATACTTGGCAGTAGCAGCATGCCATGTTGGTTGTGTGATTCTAAGAGTGAACAAGCTATACTCAGTGTTGGGGAGATGGCTCTACTGGTAAAGTCTTCGCTGTGTAACATGACGACATGAGTTCCACTCCCCCAAGTCCCTTGTTAAAAGCTGGGCACGTGTGTAATCCAAGAATTAGGAGACAGGAGGATCCCTCAAACTTATCCAGCTAGATTCAATGAAAGATCCTGTCTCAGAAGAGAAGACAGAGAGTCAACACTGACCTGAGACCTCTGTATGTGCAACTGTATACACAGTCACACACCCACATACAACTACACAAACAGCTACAGACACCACACACACATGGGGGTGGGGGACTGGAAAATATTAATGCTAAGCTAGGGAATATGGAAGCTTGGATTATTAAATAAACTTTCTAATTACAATGATTTTAACTTATGACAGATTTGCTGCATCATAAGTTAAGGTGTGTCTGTAGATAACACTGTGGAGAGGCAAAAATATACAACAGGCAAGATATCAGGGCAGTCAAGTATTTGTAGCTGGTAGAGGCTACAGAGAGAATAGGTAGAATCCAATGCAGTGAAACCTTCTATATGACATTGTTATAGGTATATGTTCTCCCACATTTTTAAAAGTCTTCTAAAACACAATCCAAAGAATAAAACCAAATGTGAACCATGGACTTCCACTAGTACCACACTAACTTTTCAATAACAGGAAACTCTGGGGCAGAGAAGGAATATCTAAGAACTTCCTTATTTATTTTTAATTTTTCTGGAATCCTAAAGCTATTCTTTAAAGTAGTCATAGCTGTATATATGTATATGCTTATACATGCTAATTATATATATATATGTATAAATATATAATTTGAATTCACCAAAAACAAACAAACCAAAACTTGATCTCTGGTTTCATGGGAAAAGTCTAACTGTGGCTTTGGGTTCATGTTCCCAGATGATCTGGATTTAACATACTCACTTTATCCCTCTGGAAGTGTATCTTTTCCTACGGGGCTCCCTCCAGTAGAACAGCCCTGTTTTGGCATTGCCCACGTGACCCAGTGTTACTCTCCAGTGTCTCCATCTAGCCTTTGGAGTTTGGGATCCCGGGGGTAAAGTATGTAATTCACTGTGGTGGTCTTCAAGGGATCTAGCGGCTCTCAATGTTCCTTAGCGATCTCCCTGCTCCTGGGGTGTCACTGGGGCCTGAGCATGGGCAGAGCTGTGGGACCCTGCAGGTCACATCTGGACTTCCTGGATATGATTTATTTCAGTAATGTGGTCCGTGGGTGACATACCTGTACAGATTAGTCAAATGCCGTCCTCTAACAGAGATGGAAAACTGAGGCTCAGAAAGCAAGCAAAGGAGGTAGCTGTGAGGTGGAGCTTGTGCTGTTTCTTACCCTTCTGAAGTTCTACCAGACACCTGACGTTCCTTTATTTCTAGTCCTTAGTCCAGAGAATTCCCATTTCCAATGCAATGACCGTGTGAAAGAGGTTCCTGTTATGGAACACCCTTTTCTTTTTTTCTTTTCTTTTTTTTTATTTAATGTGCATTGTTTTGACTGCATGCATTTCTGTGTGAGGGTGTTGGATCCCCTGGAACTAGAGTTACAGACAGTTGTGAGCTGCCACGTGGTTGCTGGGAACTGAACCCAGGTCCTCTGAAGAGCAGCCAGTTCTCTTAATCACTGAGCCATCTCTCCAGCCCCAGAACACCCCTTTTCATCTGCTCAGGACTACCTGTCCTTCTACCCTGCTTCTCCAAGAGGCCATTGATTCTCAGTCAAGGCCACGAGTTCTAATTAAAAGGAAGGGCTAATGAGTAGCATTAGTCCATGGATGCCATTGCATAAAATTCCACTTTCAGAGTGCTCAGCCTTGCTATGGCTGTGAGGCACTCCTTCCTGTTCTGAAAGGCCATGGAGGGCTCTTGCCGTGGAGCCAGTCTCAGTGCTTAGCCTGTGGTGCGGAGCATCCAGTCTGTCAGAGGTGTCACCCCCTCTAAGCTCTCTGATCCCAACTCACCAGCAGCCCTCTCCTCTTCAGTTTCTCCTGTCAGATCAGGCCCCTAGGGCAAGGTGCTCCTCCCACTTCCGGCTGCTCCTAAACTCTGACTAGGATGTCTTCTATCATCTCAGTCCCTTTACTTTTCAATTGGTTATTTTTTGAGAATGTCATGCATGAGTACCATATTTACATCATTTCTTCTCTTCCTCTCCTCCCTCTAACTCCTCCCATGTCCCCTCCACCACTTCTCAATTCATGGACTCATGTAGGTATGTGTATACGTATATACGTGTGTGTGCATGTATTGCATGCATGCATGTATTTGGAGCTGACTGAATGGGATTAAATAACTATCAGGTAGCTCACCCCAGAGAAGACTGGCTCTCCCTCTCCCAACAGCCATTAATTACCTTCTTCATGAGACTTCTCCCACCCACAGTGGCATGTCAACTGATAAGGTCATTATTCATGTCTGGTTCAAGTAACCGTATGGTTGCAGTTTCATGGTGGAGCTTTCCTGTCCATTTCTAGGAGACATTCTTAGAGCACACAAGGGAGTATACTCCCGGAACCTTAGGTGGAGGACTTACGTTGCAGATGGACAATTGGGGCTGGGCACTCCACAGCCAGTTCTCTGTATTCTGACCAGGTGTGGCTTTCTGGAATGGTTTCCATCTGCTGCAAAAAGAAGCTTCCTTGACGAGGGGTGAGAGCTGTACTCTTGTGTGGGTATAAGGCTATGTATATAGAATGCAGTTAGGGATTATGCTGGTTTAGGGAAGTGGCAGTACTTGGTTCTCCTCTAAGCTGAACTGTGCCACAGAGCCCTCAGCATCCCACAAAGGTTTATAATCAGTCATATCCAAACGCTGCAGGGAGCTGGCCTTCATCTTGGTAGGGAAAAAAATGCTAAGACAGGCAGGCATAGTGCCAGGCCACACAGGAGGGAGCAGCAAAAGCTACCCCAGAATTAGGTTGACAATTCAAAGGAGCTATCACTTGACCCCAGTCTTGCATATCAACTACCTCCTTGTTGGGAGGGGCATGTTCTCCATGGAGGGCACAGCATGGCACAGGCAGAGTATGACAGAACACTGTGTGTTCGCGGGAAGACTGCCGGCTTAAGGGTGCTGGCGTGCAGCTATGCCCTGCACAGAGAGACATTTTCTAACTGAGAAAGAACAAGCTCATGCAGCTGCTCGGTGGAAGGCATCAGGAAAGGGGGAGGGCAGCCTAGTAACCCAATCCTCTTAGCAGATCAGCCAGCTCTGTGCCACCTCCACTTCTCTGTCCCCAAGTCAGTAGCAACTCAGCAGTCAGGTCATGTGAAACACACCTGCCATTTGTCCTGTGCTTGGCTCATGCTGGCAGTCGTGAGATCACATGGGTGCAAGTGTTTGCTTGTCACCTGCTCTTACTGATGCTTGATTAGGATGGGCTGTCTGACTTCTGAGTCTTATATACACTCCCATGTGGCTTGGGCTCTTATGATCATTCTGAGTTAGTGGCAGGGTTGGAAAGACTTTAGAGCAGGCTTTGGGGTGTTGTTTATTTCTGTTTTATTTTTAACCAAGGCCCATGGCCTGAGGAATCTGTGAGCATCTCAAAAACTATGTACAAACTCTTGCTTCTATGGGTGTTTTCTGAGGAAAAGGCTCCCTAGCTTTCCTCCAATCCCCCCAAGTACATATAACCCTTTAAATTAGAGAAATTGCCAAAACAGTTCTCTCCCACAATGAGACACGGTATCTTTGGCCAAAGAGCACCATGCAGTGGGCAGCTGTCAACCTGTGTGAGCAGGCCAAGACTCACTTAGAAACAGACAAGACCTACTGTGGGCTACAGGATAGGATGGAACCAAGCCTTGATCCTTGACAGAACAGAAATATTTAGTTTATCCATTATGATAAGGAATCTAATGGGCTTTTCTCAAGCATTCCGTGTGTGTGTGTGTGTGTGTGTTGATTTTATTACCCCTTTTATTTACCAATGATTTTTCTCTAGTCCTAGAGTCTGGAAATGAAATACTAAGAAACTAGGGTAACCTGAGGAGTTGTTATAAAGTGAAATCAATAAATCACTCATAGTGCCTCTGGTGGAGATTAGATGCATATTGTGCCATTCCTATCAAAGTAAAGCTAACCCCAGGATCTCAAGAAGGAAGAACATGTTTTCCACAGAAGCCATGATTATGCCAAATAAAGCACAGATTGGGATCTTTAAAAGGAAACTAAAACTATGCCTAACATTACTGAATAGGCTACATGTAAGTCCCTCAATAATAAAACACACTTTATGACCATTTCAGACATTCATTCATTCTAAAGAGGCCATCAGGCAAGATCAGGACCCCGGCCACCCATCTTAGAAGGAAACTGGAGTCCCAGGCAACCTTAACACAAGGCAGAGGAGAAGAGACTGAGGTCCAGCAGTTCCCAAATGTGGAAACTGAAGTCCATGGAAAAGGCTGTCATGTGATTGGAATGTTGGGGAGAAGAGGGTCTCATGAGGCTCTCTTGAGGGCCCTTATAGTCCCATGAGCTCCCTCGATACATTCACACAAAGGAATGCTACTCTAGCCAAGCTTGGACAGGTCTCCTACTGGTCATCATACCCACTCCTTCAAGAAAACAAGTGGTCAGGTCTCACCTGAAGGGAACAGCTACGTGATCTGATCAACAGTTTTCATCCTTTGATGGATATACAATTTGATGACATTGTGTGTGATGTCGACCTAAGTTAGGAAGGAAGTGGGTCAGTACAGGACTGCTTATGAAGGGTCCCCAGCCTTTCTTTCTGGCTCTGTGCTTCTGGATTGTGTAAGGTAAGCAGGCTTGCTCCACCACATGCTCCCAGCCATGACAGTTTAGTTTTGCTTCAAGATCCACAGGAATGGAGCCAGCCAGCCATGGACTGAGATGTGAACCCAAAGAAATCCTCCTTCCCTTGTTTTCTCAGGTACTTTGTCACAGTGACAGAAAATTGACCAAGAGGAAACATAAATCCTTGAGGAGCACACGCCAGCTATACGGAGCATGAGATAATAAGGAAGCGCTGGGCCTCATGGGATTATAGATGGAGGCAAACTGTAGCAGATGCTCTACCTCCAGACTCCTAGTTCATCCAGCTGCAGACAACACACGTCCTTGCCTGCAGTTTGCTCTACTAATAGAGCCAACTCTGCCTTGCAGGCTGGGAAAGAAGAGGAGTGCATTTCCTCCTAAATGGCTGTCAACCGCGGGTGGAGGGCTACGTCAACGCCCAGGTTCTCCATGCTTTGGGTAGGGAACTCTGAGCTGAGTGTCCACCTTCTTTCTCAGAATCCTCCTTGCCTGTCTTCCAGATGCCCACATGATGAGGTACTCAGTCACACTCCTTGACAAAGCTCTACTCCTTGATCTTTCTCTCTGCTAGTCCCTCGCCAGCACTTCCTCAGATGGTTTGCTAATGACCTCAGGAATCAAGCTCATAGAAACACTGGACAATCACAGGTTCCTAATCCCTCCAAGGGTAGTGGATGAGAAAGAATCTCTGGCGAGAGTGAAACATGGATGGAGCTCGGGGGAGCCTGAATTTATACATGCCTGTGGGGTTTTATGCTGGCCCCCTGGTAAGAGGCAACATGAGCAATTATCACTACAAGGAGGATGACACTGTGACTCAGATCATGGCCCTGAAACCAGTGTGCAAGTCACTCAACAGTATCAGAGAATGTTAGTGTCAATCTACATGTTCGAAATTAAACAGACAAAGCTGTAGTAAAGATGACTGGAAGTGCTCCTGACAAACACCTAGTTCTTAACTGACTGCTTCCTGCTTCTTGTATCCAAAAGCTAAATAAACTTTTTCTTTGTCTCCAGCCTTTTCCAGGATAAGTCAGCTCAGCCAAGGTACCAGGGCTCCATGTGTAGAATCCAACTTCAGGCCTATAGAACTAGCATATAGAACATAGCAATGTTCTAGCCTCTGGAAGATCCCTTCTCTCAGTTATCCAAGGCCTCAAGATTCAGATATTGGCCACTCATTGCGGCTGGGAGCCACATCAAAAACTCCTCACTGCCTTCAGTATAGTCAACAGCAAGCTCAGGGGAGCTAATTAGTTAAACAGCATCAGATGAAAGGGCTAGGGTACATCATCTACCAGATCTGATTTAACACAGCTCTGAATACATTTCTAAGAGTAAGCTGAAAAGTCATTAAACTTGATGTACATCTTGTCTTCCCTTCTCCCTCCTTCCGTTATGAGAATCAGCTTAGTCCGCATCTTACAAATGGTCAGTGCATCAGAAGGTTGGTTTTTTTAAAAAAAATGACTAAATGAAAAAAATAGGACTTGGTATGTAACCCCACTGATAGGGTTACAAATCAAGCATGCACAAATCCATGGGTTCAACCCTCATCACTGCATAAGTAGGGTGTGGTGGCACAGGTCTCTACTTCCAGCCATCAAGAGGTGGAAGCAGTGGGATCAGAAGTTCAAGGTCATCCTTGGCTACATAGCAAGTTTGAGGCAAACCTAGGATATATGATAACCTATTCGGAGAGTGGAGGGAGGGAGGGGCAGAGGGCACTATTAGGTGGTGTGTCCATGTAGTGGGTAGCCATTCCAGCTTTGATCTGGAAGTTCCAACCCCCATTGAGACTTCGGCAACTGTCACGCCTACAAGGCGGGGCCAAGGGAGGCGCCGGGGGACCCGAGATCTGGATCGGCGGGTGCGCTCTCTGTTGCAGGACCCTGGACTGGAGAGGTGGACCGAGCAGAGCTCCAGAGAACACCGCTGGACTGTGATACACCTTCCCCAGACTCCACGACCTACCTATTCCTTAATTTGTAAGTTACGCCATTAAATAAATCTCCTTTTAACTACGTGGAGTGGCCTTAATAATTTCACCAATAGTCCATGTTCAGCTCCGATCTTCTCCACGGTTGGCTGTTCTTCATCTCAAGCTCCTTTGGAAACACTGTTAACAGACACAGCCAAAAGTGAACTGCTAATTTTCTAGGTATCCTTTAACCCAGTCAAGTAGAAAACCAAAATTAACCATCCATTTCTCCTATTCAGTCCAGCCTTTCTTCCGAGCTCTGGATAATAAGCCATGCCTACTGGTCTATTCCACCAGCAGCTCCAAAATGAATAGGCCAAATAATAATGAAGTATCTTCTCCAGCCTTGCTTTCCATGCTCTGGCTCCAAAGCCAGTGGATAGAAGCACAACATACCAGATACTCGAGAAATAAATAAGATTAGTATATTTTGTCTCTCTCTGCTTCGTCAACCCCCTCTTCTCACCCAGTCATTCGACATAAGCAATTCATTGGGATAAGAAGCCAAATTCTGCCCCCATGGTTTGATGCCTCATAGGTCTTAGATTCAAGGTCTCATTGAATGAATTGAGTTCCTTAATGGTGAATTGTCAAAAAATGGTCCAAATATGGAGTCATATGAGGAGATTTCTGAGTACTTGTGCTAAAACTCGAGGAAACCAAGACGAGAGTCTTGTGACCTCACTTTTTTCAAAACCATGGAATTGTCCTTGGATCATGCTTTTGTGCCCCTCCCAGGTATAGTAGTTTGGAGTGAGTTTACTTCAGATTATTAATTACAACTGGCTATTGTTATTTGTTTATATGCCTCTATGGCAAACACATTTCTGCCACATGAAGCTTGTCTGCCAATGTGAGGGGTGCCCTTGTGATTGTACACCATTTTACTCAGGTGACTCTTCTTAACCTTCAGAGTATAACCTCACTGATGCTTTGTACAAAGTTGACTATTGATGAGATTTTAGGCTAGCTCATTTGCGGGCTCCATTCTTCCAGGCTCTCATGCCTCTGGAGCAGTGAAGAGTTACCAATAACAGCTTTACTTCATTTGTCACAAAAATGTCCTGTGAGGCTGGAGGTGCAGTTCAGTTGGTAGATTGTTGGCCTAGAATGCAAGATATTGTGGATCCAATCCCCAGCATTACATGAAATAGGCATGATGGTGTAGGCCTCTCATCTCAGAATTTGGAAGATGGAGACAAGAGGATCAGAAGTTCAAGCTCATCATTAGTTATATATTGAATTTGAGGCTAGTCTGCATTATATAAAACTGTATCTCATAAAACTGTATCTCAAACAAACAAACTACCACCAACAACAGCAAAAAGGCCTTTGAGATGCACATATTACCATAATTTTTCCTACTTTACACATAAGGAAACTAAAACTCAGAGAGGTTACATAACTCATAACTTCCCCAAGTCATAGACCTATGTAGTGCTGGAAAGTACACTGAAGGATTTGGCTGTAGGACTGGCTGCCTCCAATGCCTCTGCTGGATTCCATTTGGGATGATCCACCATTTCCTTACCCCAACCCCTTTGCATGCAATCTTCCTTCTCTTTGAAAGTCTTTTGCCTGCTATTTTAAGTGGAAGACTATTCCAGATTTCATTGACTTTGATAGAAATTTCTTAATCTGAAATTTATCACTCTAAATTTTGTCTTAATTCTGTTTCTTTAGAAAATACAGAAGTGATCTGCCAGCCAGTCAATGAAAAAATCTTCTTCTGGTATCCATTCAAATATACAACAACAACTCTCTTATTCTAAGAGTGTCTTTCTTTCTTTTCTTCTCTTTTCTTTCTTTCTTTCTTTCTCTCTTTCTTTCTTTCTTTCTTTCAGATTGAGTTTATTCTGTAACTAAATATGAGCAACCATAGCTCAGCCCAGGAATACAGGTTCAGGTTATCTCAAATATCATATTACAATGTGGTACAGCTTTATGAAGTTGTTATAGTAGCAGAACTTAGAAAGTCCTGAATCAAAAGGCCTTAAAAATATATTGGAAAATCAGATAGGCTACATAGAGTAGATCAGAGACATCTCAGATACTACCTGATGGCATTCTTAGCCTTTGGGTTAGAAGCTATGAGTCTGTTTGTACATTCCTAAAGGATTTATCTAATAATCAAAGGGATGTTAGTTAGGTCATGCCTGTAAAGAGACACCATAATCATAGCAACTCTTCTTTTTCCCATATATTTATTTTACATCCCAGCAGCAGCCTCCCCCATTCTTCTCTATCACCCCCTAATCCCCTTCTCTTCCATATCCATCCAGGAAAGGGTAGGTATCAATAAAACATGGCATATCAAGTTGCAGTAAGACTAAGCACCTCCCATGTATTAAGGGCAGGAAAGGTGACCCAGTATCAGAAGTAGGGTCCCAAAAGCCAGTAAAATAATCAGAGACAGCCCCTGTTCCCTCTGATGGGAGTCCCATGAGAGGACCAAGCTATATATGCAGAGTGTCTAGGTCAGTCTCATGCAGGCTCCCTGGTTGTTGATTCAGTCTCTGCGAGCCCCCATGAGTCCAGGTTAGTTGATTGTATGAGCCTTCCCATGGTGTTCTTGATCCCTTTGGCTCCTACACTCCTTTCCTCCTCCACAGATTCCCAAACTCTGCCTAATATTTGGCTGTGGGTCCCTGTATCTGCCCCCATCAGTTGCTGGATGATGCCTCTCTGATGACAATCGGGCCAGGTACTAATCTGGTCACAGGAGATGGCCAGATCAGGCTACTTATCCACTATTGCTAGGAGTCTAAACTGGGGTCCTCTCCATAGATTCCTGGGAGATTCCCCTGCGCCAAGCTTCTACCCAACCCTGAAATACAACAACCCAGCAGTCTCCCTCAGCACTCTCCCTGTGTGCCCCTCAAACCCTATCACTCATATTCCCATTCCCACCTACCTTCAATCCACTCACAAAACTCTTCTACATCCCCTTCCCAGGGAGATCTGAATGTCCCCCACTGAACTCTCCTTGTTATCTAGTCTCTTTGGGTCTGTGGATTGTAGCATAATTATCAATTATTTTACAGCTAATATCTACTTATGAGTGAGTACATACCATGCTTTTCTTTCTCAGTTTGGATTACCTCACTCAGGATGATTTTTTTTTTTTCTAGTTCCATCCATTTCATAGCAACTCTTATAAAGGAAAACATTTAATTGAGGTGGTGGCTTACAGTTTCAGAGGTTCAGTCCATTATCATCATGGTGGGACATGGCAGCATGCAGGCAGACATGTGCTGGAGAAGTACCTGAGAGTTCTATATCTTGCAGGCAACAGGAAGTGAACTGAGACACTGGGTGTGTCTTGAGAATATATGAGACCTCAAAGCCTACCCCCCCACAGATATACACTTCCTCCAACAAGGCCACACCCACTCCAACAAAACCATACCTCCTAATAGTGCCTTTATCTTTTTTCTTTCTCTTACAAGTCTAATTGGTGCTGTCCATATACTCATGGGTATGAGACCATCCACTGAACCTACCAGCAGCCGCACTCTTAAAGAAAACTGATCCTCCCTCACTCTAAATCCACTACTTGCCAATGGTTCCTCAGGTAGTGGAGGAGGCTCATAAGCCCCTGCCTCCTCCATGCTAGAACGTTGATTGGCTTGATTTTATGCAGGTCTTATACAGGCAGACACAGCTACTGTAAGTTCATTCATGCAGTGGGCCTGTCCTCCATGACCACTGGCTCTTAGAATCTTTCTAGCCCCTCTTACCTGATGGTCACAGAGCCTTATGGGTGGGACAAGGTGATATAGAAGTTTGGGGCTAAGCACACCATAGACACTCATTCTCTGTCCTTTGATCAGTTGTTTCTGTGTTGAACGCCATTCACTGCCTAAAGAAACTTCTCAGATGAGATCTGAGAGTTGTTCTAATCTATGGATAGAGTGATACAGATTTAGAAGGCAGTTTCATCCTATGTCCGTTTAGCAGAATTGTTGGAGTAGTTTCACCCCAGGGACCCATGAGCTCTCCAGCTATGAGTTCTTGACCAGATCTGCAATCCTAGGCCTGTGTTTCCTTCTGTGGACCCTAAGTCCCACCAGAAAGTGACTGGTCCCCCCATAACATTCATGCCACCATTGCACTCGTGGTATATTTTATCACTGTGGTTGGTGTTGTAGTTCACAGGTGGATAAGACTATTAATGACGTCCCCAACCAGCAGCCTGTATAGGACTTTCCAATATGAAAAGTAGTCTCCATAAAGGAAGCTTCCTGTTCAGTACCAACCTGATTTCTCTATGTCCTCTGACCAAAGTGTGTGGTATCTTTAGCAGTAGATTATATAGTTCTGGGGGGAAAAAAAGAGCTGTGACAAGAGCCTGTGCTATTTTCAGGAGGGTCTCCAGAACACCCCTGCCTGTGGTCCGTCTTTAACTCCTTTATCGGTGAAATACCCCAAATTGAGGAGGGATCTACCATCTTTAACAGGTACAGAATACTGAAAGACCAACATTTACTTGATATGAACACTAGGTTTATGGTGGGTACCCTAAAAATCCTATTAGTTTTTAAAGGGCTATATCACACTACTATTTCATATTCATGTTGGACTTAGCTAAATTATAGGTCTTTCACAACTGCATTAATGCCAGGATGAGCCTTACAATATTGTTTAACTTCTTTTAGTTCATTCATTGTTTCATCCTTATTTTAGAACATGTTTTAATCCTAGAAAGTCAGAGTCTGTGATGCAATATATCAGCTGTTTGTCCAGTTTTCCCTTTCTTTATCTACACATCAATCAAGGCTTATAATGCACAAGCTAAAGATTAGAGATTTTTTGTAGGTTGATTTACCAAGTTCAATGACCTGAGAGTTTAAAACAAATCATTAAGCCCTTAACTGCACCAGTATCTAGACTTTATAAAAAATAGGATATGACACCTATAGCATTTTCTGTATTTATTAAACTCAACAATTCTCTTTAAATGGAAATGAGATTAATGATAATCTTTTCCTAGAAAAGCCACTCTGATTCTAAGTCATTATGAATGACCACAACCATCTGCTA